CAATAATAAAAAAAAATAGATATTAAACAGGAAAACAAAGTTTTTGACTCTTTAGAGTTTTCTAGATTTCTCATAAATGAAAAAAATAATGATTGCTCATGTAAAGATCATCATTTTGAACATCACTTTGATGACCCAGGGTGGGATACAAAACAAACACAGTCACAGAAAACAGGTGAAGCCCCTTCACTTTGCTTCCAAGCTCCAAATATTCTTTACAGAAGCCAAAAAACTTCCACACAAACAGTTTCAAGAAGAAAGGAAAAAGCAACACAAACCAGGCAAGATAAGGGCTGGGGGACGTCCACAGATAACACACACTGGGAAGGATGCCAAACTTAGAGAGGAACCATAAACTAGAGATATTTCCATGCTTTGTTTCCAGTGTTTGCCCGGATGTCCATCCTCTTATTCAGTTGTCACAGCTGCAGCCCATGAAACAGATCAAGGCCCTCTCCTCCCAAGTAGACTACATCTTTCCCTTATGCTCTCCTCCCTGCGTGCCCTAGGATGGAGAGGGGATGGGCCTGGGTCCTCTTCTGACTGCTCAGCCAGCTTCTGCCCTTCCCCAATTTCCTACACAACCTCCGGAGCCACACTTCCACTCCTTGTTGGCTGTTCCTCCTCTCCCTCGGAGTCAGTCTCCACCAGGGGCATGACAATAACATAGAATAGCATCATTTTACACACACACACACACACACACACACACACACACACACACACACAGCTCTTACTCTATTTTGGCCACTCAAGGAAGAGGATGGCTGCTCTTTTATTATTCCAGTCCCTGGTTTAAAATCTTTATAGATTTATTTTAGTTTTGCCATTTCAAGGTTAGAAACTCTGTGGGAAAGAATTTAATTTTACATAGAATGTTGTTTTATGGAATTTAGAATGTGAAGAACATAGGAAATAGCTAAATAACTCAGCTTAGTTGAACTGCAGTTAGAATTTCTTCCAGGTCTGAGATTGAACCAGGAATTATATTATGTGACATAATGGTGCCCTCTAGTGCTTTTATTAGGCATGGTAGTTTTAAAGGCTGGAGTAACGGCTGAAAATAAACAGAAATCTGGCTTTAGTTTAGCTAACTGAATTTTCTGTCAGGAAGGAACGCTATTCAAGATTTGATATAGCCAGTTTTCAAAGCACTTCTCAGAGTGGACTATGAAAAAGCATTCTATGTCTATTTCTATCCATAAAACTAATTCTGAATCACACCAAGGGAAATCCAAATTTTCAAGTACTTGGAGTATAAGCTAGGAAAATAAAAACCTTTTTCACAGGGATTTTTTTTCAAGGAACTGCAAAGGCAGAAGTTTTAGTCAAATTAGTATTGTTAAAACTGAGTAATAGTCAAACAAGTAGGGCACTTTCTACTCAGTTCTTGTCAGGCTTCTGCTCAGAGAAGCCTCCCTATCCAGTATCATGTTTCAGCTGTAACAAATATTAGGAGTAGAGAAAATGGATGCATTATCATCCCTCTTTCTCTTTTTATGAGAAAATGTCAATATTTTATTTATTAAATTTATATGCCACCCATCTTACCCATAAGGCTACTCATTAATCCTGTTCTTTTTATAACTTATATACAACCCATTTCTATACTATTTCATGCCTAATCAGGTGTAGAAAATTACATAGCTAAGCTTCAGGAGGAATGCAAGATCAATTATGTAAACATCAGTTTATCTCTGAAGAAAGGAACTAGTGAAAACAAAACTCAAAATTGTCCTGTCTTGATTATCTTTGGTATAAGAGGGGAGGGTGGGGGGATTCTGTCAGGTTTTCAAGATTTTGCTATTATATCCCATAACAATAAATTAGTTCTTGTATCTATTTCCTGACCTGTAATACCTTGAAGGTCTGGCACCAAATTGCTTAGATAATTAACAATTCCACAGATGACAGACTGTGCAGAAAGCCAGTGGGCTCAGGTGGATTTTTTTTTTGCAGACAGTTATGATGTCTTTACCAGTACAATAATTACAAAATTCCATTTCATAATTTAAAAACCAAGTAGTTAAATCAATATTTAGAACTATCACAATGCAAATATAAGGAATGCCCTTTGACACTACAAATCCTGTATATACCCATAATTAGTGTCAATTGTAATATGGACAGGCAGAGGAATTAGGAGGCTAGTGTGATGATCTAAACATGAAACAATTAAAGCAAACACCAATAAAACTGTAGCCATTTCTATCACCCCTTTGCTTACAATCCTGTGAATATTTAGCAAGAAAAAACTGGGAGTCTCATTTTAAGATCAATAAATGAGCACAATGTCAATCAAAACTTGAAGACTAAGGGCAGAAGAAACTGGAACAATCTAGAAGCCCTGGGGAAAATGGGGGGGGGGGGGGGGGGGGGGAACACAAAAGAGAAGAGGAAGGCAATTGGCTGAAACATGACAATCTCCATCTTATCCATATTCAGTAATGCATTTAGACAACTTCCAAGATGAAATGCTAATGAGACATTTCTGTCATTGTTGACCATACAATTTCCCCTATCAATGTGTTTCATCAACGCAGCTGCGATACTAAAATGCTTAGTCATTTATCAAGGGACTAATTTTATTAACATTATCCATCTCATGATATCTTCACATTAAAAAGACCATAGAAGATTAATGAAATTTATACTTTCTGTGGTGAATATCCCAGAAAGCATATATGCCATGTACAATTCAAAATATCTTTAAGAGCAGATGCCGGGGGGAAAGTCTGACATAAGAATAAGGGAGACAATAAACAGACACATTAACTAAGACATCTTCCTACGTTCAGTAGACTTTATTGTTGCCTTCTATATTTTCACTAAATCTTTTATGTTATGGCAGATGCATTAAACCTTTATGTTGCAGCTGGCCAAAGGGATATGCTGATAGCAGACATTCTTCAAGATTTCCTAGACTAATCTTTTCTTGCCAGGCTGTCAGGAAAAGGCATTTTGTAAGAGAAAGACAGCTATTAAATGGCATTCTTTTTTAAAAAGTTATTTTTTCAAACATAAAACTGTGAACCTGATTAAGTTTTCTTCAGTGAGAAGATAAAAAGTACTAGATATGCTTCTCTGGAAGAGTATAATCCCACCAAATACTTTCCTTTCCTTTCCACAAACTTTTATTTGTTTGAAAATGAATGGAAATCCAGATCTCCATGGGGATTCCTGTGTTGCTCAGATACCTGTGAATATTTCTGGTGGTTCCAAGAGAAAGTACAGATATTTATGGCTTAGAATTGAGGCTTCTCATATTCTAATTCACAAAATAAGCTTATGCATGCTATTTTATTAATTATGTATTAACAATTTTAGTTTCATAACAATGTATGTTGAATATGTTGAATCCATAATAGTCACTATTACAATAAAATCAATTTGTTGGTTATTATGGCATGATGTAATCAAAAGTTCTGAAACATTTCACCCTTTCCCATTGGTTAGAAAAATAGCAATAAATTTTGTTTGGACATAGCAACCAATTAGTGTTTGGAAAGGGTGTTCTATGATTCTAAAGTACAATAATTTTGACTGACTATTGGAGGAACAGAGCAGGCTCTTCCATTAGACAGTGAAATGGTTGTTCCAGGCACCAGACTTTGAATATTATGCACCTTATAAAGGCTGAAAAGAGCCAATGAGTTGTTGTTGTTGTTTAAAATTGCTTTTGGTATTTTGTTCTTTATGTTCCAAAAAGAATTGGCTATTTTTCAGATATTCTGCACACCTTCCTTTTCAAGGGTATTGAGTACCATTTGCTGTTTTGTCTTTTGAAGTAAACTATCTTGCATCATCTCTGCAAAAGTGAAAGCAGAAAAATCAGGGGAAGATATTAACATGCTATCTCCAAATTACAGGACTGAAACTGAGTATACTTCCTTTGAAAAGGCATTCCAAACAAAATCACAAGAAGCACTAGCAAAAAAAAAAAATCCCTTATGAATGGAACAGAGAATATCTTCTTGGGTCATCTCAATGCATGAGAGGAGAGGAACATCTTCACGCATTTGGGTCCTAAATCATTTTTAAGGGAAAATGAGCATTTTGGCCTGGTCTCAATAATCAGTTGCTTTTTCAGAAGTAATGTAAGTAATGTAAATAGAGAAACTAAGCAAAATTCTAGTGGTGGCATTTGGTTCCAGTCAGGAATACTGTCAAAATTATGGAGGAAATTTCTCCAAAATTCATTATGTTAGCACTTCAAAATGAAATAATAATAAGGTATTACAGCAAGAATTACAGCAATGGAAGGCAGACAGAGGTTCTCAAATTTTGTGATGTCTTGAATCACTAAAATTTCAAATAAGACTGACTTTTCTTATCACAAGATCATGAGGTCACAAATTTAAAATAAACAAAGCTTGGCTAAAGTAAATAATTCAACTCAAGTTAAATTGAAACCCCTATGATAACAAGTGCTTTTGAATATAAGTCAGCTTTCCTGGCAGAGCACAGAAAAAATAATTTTTTGCCTTAACAACTATTTAACAATCAGTTCTTATGAATTAGGCTCATCCATGTAGATATCTCCTTGGAGAATGTTTATATTATGTTATTTATATAATAGGCAGAACTTCAAAGCAGAGTTCACAATCATGCATTAATTTTTTTCCTTGTAATGTTTTATTTCTTTGGAGAAACAACAGATTTTACAAACATGCAAATGTTAACCCATTAGAAATAGACCAATAAATGAATATGGTACATAACAAAGCATTTGATGATGTTTCTCAGAAGTAATTTGCAGGAAGTCATAAATTCACATTCTAGCATTCCTATCAACAGCTGGGGGAGAAAAACGCTGTATCTACAACCTTGGAAAAATATTACCAGTTTATGTTGCCAATGCTGAGCTGGTTAAACTAATATTCTCACTCATTTTAAGCCAGCATCCTATATTATTCCAATATTTCTGTTACAGAAAAAGAAATGTACTCTGGTGCACTCTGTTCTTCTAGCCCTTTATTATTTCTGTCATTGCCACTTACTTTTGAGATCCAAGTTTCTTGCTCCTGCAGTGCTCTGCGTTGTGATTTTTGTGTCAATTTTTACAGTGTGGAGATTATTGGTATCCCGTGATATCATCACATTATGCCATTGGTTGTCATTCAGAGGTTTATTGGAACTGCCCTTGATAAGATTTGCACCATTTCCCAAATCAAACACATAATGTAGATACCTGTCAACAAAAAGGAAAAACAGCTAAACTGAGTAGGTAATTGAAAATTACAGCTCAACACTGATTCTTTTATTTAAATTCTTTAGCAATTCATAAAGTTCTTAGTCAACTCCTCTTACATTTAATAAGGCTAACTTGGGATAGATCAAAATGTCTAAGACAAGAATTAAAAGAAACAACTATTGAATTCTTCTAAGAATATTGAACAATATTGCCTCCTTAATATGCCATTTATTAAAGGTATTGCTAAAAGAAATTATAACCTTGACTTCTGCTTCTTTCCCCTGCCTTAGCCCACTAATTCTTTTCTTTATCAAGTATGGAGTTAAAACAGCAGTATTAATTCAGCTGAAATCTCTAGAATTTTTCATTTTACACCCTTTTTATGACTTGTAAATTTTAGTTTTTCCCTGACAAACTTACCCTATCCCTGCCAAAGTTATATAAACAAACTGAGATTATTTTGGGTTTATTTCCTTTTATGACTTAGTTCTGTCTAAAAGTCTCAATATGTATATTGGCACTATATTTAAAAAAATATGTGCAAAAAAAAATACTGAATACAAAGCAGCACTTTACTGTTTTATCTAAACTATTAAATTGTTGTAGATCTCCCCAGTGAAACTTTTGAATTTCTCAAAAGTGAAATTACATTTCTTGATTAAAATTACAACTCATTCCAAAGAATGATAATTCTCCTCAGAAGATATGTAGCTACTATATATTTAAATATTTACAGTAAATAGGCTGTCAGTTTTTGAAATAAACAGAGAAAGATGTTGGACCCCCTAGACTTTGTCAACAGAGTTCCTCATAGGATTTCATGACATGTACTTTTTTATTTTAAGGTAATTACTCCAGACAGAAGAGCTGAAAAAGATCTCAGGGCTCTAGTTTTTAGACAAAGCCCACCAACAGTTAAATCAGTGTGGAACTTCCAGCCACAGGCTTACCTACCAAGACCAGTGGGATGATGGTGGTGGTGGTGGTGGTCATTATTATTATAATTTCACAGATTAAACTCATATCACAGTTTCAGTATAGAATGGTCATGAACTATTCTGGTTTCCAAAAATATCTTGGACAATGGAAACATAGGGAGGTAATTTTCTGTCGCCACTGGCAAGTAGAATAACAGAGTTGGAAGGGACCTTGGAGGTCTTCTAGTCTATTTCTCTGCTTAGGCATGAAACCCTATACCATTTCAGACAAATAATTTTCCAATCTCTTCCTAAAAACTTTCAGTGTTGGACCATTTATAACTTTTGGCGGCAAGTTCCAGCTGAGGAACTAGTAGTGTTAACAGAAACAGAAACAGATTTTGCCTGCTTTTTCAATGGAAAATAAAGATGAAAATATTTCACACAAGTGACAAAATAAATGTTATGGGATGTAAATATGTAAAATGATTGAATTACTCAAAGGCATTTTGAGTAATTACATCAATTACTCAAACGCATTTTGCTGGAAGCTCCCTTCCCATGCAGAGTTACCGGTAGCTTTAGTAAAATGTTTTTTTTTTTTCTCAAATCCAGAATAGTGGGAAGCTAGATTAATTTTCATAGAACATAGTTTTAGCAAAACAATACTGGGAAGGCTCCACTTTAATAAGCAGGTAGATTTTATCAGAGGTCTACTTACTGTTAAAAGTTGATCTCTCTTGATATATTTCCCTTTTATAGTAATGAACATGATCCTCCTTGTGGAGGACACAATTCTATTCTTTATATATTTAAATATATCAGTAGCATTTTAATACTTCTTAAATATTGTCTTGAGTATTGTTTTAATTCCCACTGAGGGTAGCCGCTATCTTGAGCCTGAGTAGGCTCAACCAGTGTTAGAAAAGATACTAGTATGCATAGGGGTCTTGATAGCTACTCTCTTAGCCAAAAGTTTATACTATAGGAAAATGGTCTGAAACTGCAGTATGAGAAGCACCATCCAAATATGTATTTCTTAGAAGGATAAACAGTGTTCATCTTTAAGAACACAGAAACTCACACTATTGCATCAGAACAAAGGTTGTAGAGTCCAAGATCTTGCCTAATAAATGTTCATTAAGCTTTCTGAGCTGATAACATCTGTAAAACAGATTGCATACACACCCTTTTACTAATTCAACCACGATAAAATCATTGCCATCTCCACTGTTGTAAAGTATTAACCCATCCAATGATGTTGTTTTGAACTGGAAAAACAGGTGCATAGATGTGTATGCTTGCAATGTGGCAAGAGCAACATAGCTAGCTTTCGTTTTAAAGGTGACTGGGTCAGCAATGATGTTCCGGAAGCCGAAACGGGCATTTAGTTCACAGTAGTCAATATCCCCATTTTTACACAAGTCAATGTATGCCATGCCATTAAAAGTGAGGCTTTGCAGGTGACCAATGAAGTTGGAAGGGACTGAGGACAAGTAACGCCGTTCTGTTATGATTCCCGTCTCTATATTATGGAATTCCAGTCTTGTATGATCCCCAGCCATTTGACCTTTAAGTAAAAAGCAATTTTGAGAAGTTAGTGTTATAACCAAAAAGCTAGGGCCATTTCAAATGCTGAAGTCTCCTACACAACCCTGGCCTGACCATGTGATTTTACCACATGTACTTTCACATAAGAAGTATATCTGCATTTGTTTAGTACTTTTTTCTTATTATATCCAACCATCTGAGTTATTTAAGAATAACTCAGTGCATAATGTACAAATGAAATGAACCAAGCATTAAATCATCCCAATTTAAGCAATCAAATCAAGGAAAAATACATCAATTTAACCAAAGGGTTGGCGGAATCTCAAGGTACTGTAACTAAGAAGAAAATCTTTATTTGAACATTCAAATTTAAATTTGCAGGCTTGTCTACCATGTACTTCTAGGAGCTTTGCTAATTACAAAATACAAAAAACAATAGGTCTATTTTATCCACTTTTTAGAGTGGAATAATTTGTATCTGTCTTTATAAAGGATATTGGAAAAGGTATCCTTTATTGAAGAAAGTGTCTTTTATTATTTTGGTCTACATCAGATAGATAGATAGATAGATAGATAGATAGATAGATAGATAGATAGA